TAAAGTCCATGAACAATAATCTTGAATGTCCTTGTATGTTAGAACAATAATTGAAAGAAAATCCGTGTTGATTATTTCATTTATAGTTATTTTATTGGGGATTCAAATACAAAGTGCAATTCTCAAGACCAACGGTATTCTATACAATACCTGGGAATGCGTTTTATATAACGGCGCATAACTTTCCAACCATAAAAGATAGAAACTTACTTTTATTTCCTTGAAAAGCTAAGACTTGTGGCTTTTCGAGCATATTTCCGTCATTATCCTATGTCACACGTACGCTGCGTGTTGATGTAAAGAAAACGAATATCCAGTAGGAACTTTGATTTCCGCCAAACACATGCGCTCCATCCATTTTGATCAGCTCAAACTTTGCCAAAGAGTGCAGTGAGTCAAAATGGTCGACTGCTCTGAGCGTCTATGTTCGCAACAATTGAAAAAGCCGCTCTAAGTGCAGTTATTTCTCAAATAAATGGCAAATTACACAATGTACAAATCCAAATGCAATATACACTATAAAAATGCAAGAAGTGATGTGGCTCTGTGCCCTGGACCTGACACGAGCTGTTTCCATGACTGGCACCAGGAAAGTCATGGGGCGATTGCACTTTTTTTGTTTTAACGGCAATAAAGATATTTTTTGTTTACTTACAGACTTGATATTTTGCACTTTTGTAGCTAAGGCCCATTTTTTTCTGTTGAAAAAGTTGTTTATACATGTTTGCTGTGTGTTTTGTATGAAAGCGTGTGACTTTTATTTACTGTTTGTTTTTTTTTTCGTTTTTTTCATTTGTATTTCTGGTCCTATAGCTTTTATTACGACCATATGACACAACTACAGCAGCAGATTGTGAAATGACAGGTTGTACTGAAAAAAAGGATGTGTAGCACTTCATTAGAGGGTAAAAAGGGGAAGTTTTAATAGTTAAATTAAGAAATCCAGGTGAGGACAAATGTACTAAAATTATATTCTACTCACCTCTGCTTACAATTGTGCGAATTTCAACTTTTTTAACAAAATACTCTCTCTACATTTACATATTTATATCTGTTAAACTCAGCTGAACTGCAATTATTTTATTTGCACCATGTCAGCGGAAAAAACAAATACATTAGCATAATATGATTTCATTTAATTTCTAACTAAAATGGTAATTAGGCAATAGTAACTAGAGCTAGATTTTCCCCTGTTATTAAAAGGCCCATATTACACTATTTTCTGTTCTATGTTATAATGTTTCCTCATAAAAACATACCTGGAGTTGTGTTTTGTTTCATTCACACATGTTTAACACACAAACCCTGAGTTCTTCTCTCAAACTGAAAACACTCTGTTCCACCTTGTGATGTAATGTGGTAATACAGGAAGTGCTTCACTGTGTTTTTAGCTCCATACACCTCCACTAGAATAATATCATATAATAATCTCTACTGAACAAAAGGTAAAAGGTAGCTGTTAACTTGAAAACTACCACTACATGACATCACAAGGTGGAACAGAGCATCTTGAGCATTAGAGATGTAGACAGACTAATAATAAAGGGATAACTCAGACATGTGTGAATGAAACAAAATGCAACTCCAGGTATATTTTTGAAGAGATGACAACATTGTAACATGACTTAAGGGTCACAAGAATCAGTTTTGTGTAATATAGGACCTTTAGGTTTAGACTGTATGTAATTAGCTTGCAGAGATGCCGATATATTGACTCTATATTAAACTAGAAGACACCTTATCAGTAAGGCTGGGTATCAATAAGAAGTTGCCGATATGATACATACATCAATACACAGGCCACGATACAATACCTATCTCGATACAGTGAGCTTTTGCTACAGTACAATATATTTCAAATTTATTTGATCGATTTCAATACAAAATAAAAGCTAAATCATGGCTGTGATACTAAAAGTCTTTGTTAAACCACTTCTTGTTCAAAGTGAATATATTTTAATCATTAAAACTGTGAAAATGTCAAATTTGTTGCATAAATGAGTTTCCTTTCTCTGAACAAGCAACAAAACTGTAGCAATGTAACAAAATAATTTAGTAAAATATACCAAAATATACTCTTGGCGATATATCAATATAGCTGCCCATGATATTGATACTGTATCATCACATTAAACGATACAATATATCAGTATTTTGGTATTTTTGCACACCCCTAACCATGAGTACTTAACATATCCCTTTACTAATATTCTATCTGCAGAGTCATCGTCAGTATTATAATCTGTGTTAGTTGTTGCATCGCTTGAGGAAACTGTCACATTTGATTTCATTACAAGGCTATTTTTAAAAATCACAACTTGTTTTTTTTTTCTCTCTCTCACTCATCGAGTCACAATCCAGCCTTTTCTTGGCAGCTACAATCATCTTTCTAAAGTAGTCTTCTTGTGTGCATAAATATTTGACTTGCAAATGATGAACCTCGGTAACCTAGCGAGCTACCTGTCAGGCTCGCTCCAGCGTCGCACCCGCATCCTAATCAAAGTGACACTGATACGCCGCTACAGATATTCACATTTAGGTCATGTTTACTCGCTAAACGCAATATGCTAGCACTTCCGGAGAGCTAATTTAGTCCTCTCTCGAAACAGCATACGCCAACACGTGCCAATTTGACTACTTCTACTAATCCCATGTGTCTGTTTTCATGTCTCACCACCGCGAGAAATTGTCAATGTTTTTAAATAAAATAACACAGGAATAAGAACTGGGTCATGACCGATAAGAGGCTAATTTGCAGCTAATCTGGCAACTGAAGCACATGTTTGACATTTATCCAAACGGGGTCAGAGACAAGACAAAAGGAGGTGGGATTAAAATGTGCTGGATTCTGAATTGAATTTTGCTTGCGAAAAAATAACTATCTGATTAATCCCAGTGGTGGAACGAAAGTAGTAAATTATTGTACTTAAGTGAAAATGTTACAGATTTGTACTTTACTAGAGTACATTTTAAACCGGATACTTTTTACTTTGACTTGACTATATTGTCGAGTGGGTATCTGTACTTTCTACTCCACTACATTTATGAACTGGACGGAAAAGTAAAAGTATTTTTTTATATTATTTGAGACTTGCTGAAAAAGATGAGGGTTTATTTTTTTTACATGTTGTAGTTTGAGCAAAAAATAAAAATAAAAACGGCTGGGAAAAATGATTGATTCCATTGTTTCTGGTGAACTAACTACAACACAAATCTGTATCAAGATCACTACATTTAAAGCTTTATTAGATCTCAGAATCTGTGCAAAATACTTTTACTTTTTACTCTTTAAGAACATTTTTAAATGGGTACTTTAATCAGGGAAACCCTGGTTTGACTACCCCAAATTTAAGACTTGTAAAGACCTTTTTAAGACCACTTAAATAAATATTAAGACCAAAATCGCACCCATTATGCGGGTGAAAACTCCAGATCTAATTCTGATCAACCAACTGAACTGAACTGAATGATCAACCAACTATGGTACTACATTTAGAATCTGAGAGCCACTGTGGATTAAACCTACAGTACACTTCCCCATGATCCATCCAACGTCTTCCTCCATTGTACTGACTGTTTACTCATTGCCGCCGGCGCCACAAACCAAAGTATTGTTTGCACATACTCCAAATTAGACGTTCATTCATGTGATTTCACGTTGTTGTTTTTTCCTCCCTCCATTTAACATCGCACTGCAGACCGGTTGAGAATACAGAAAAATAGGCTGAAGAAATTTAAGACATTTGTGAAAAAAATAAGACTGGAACAATATAATTTAAGACTTATTAAGGCCTTAATTTAGGGACATGAAATTTAAGACCTTTTTAAGACTTTTAAGACCCCATGGCTACCCTGTTTAATACTTTTACTTAAGTAGAATTGTTCATGTTATATTTAGTATCGTACTAGTATTTTTTTTTTTTTTTTGCTCCGGTATCTGTACTTGTACTTAAAGGTGACCAATGTAACTTCTTTGTTGGTAGTACTTCACCTGCTTGTTTCTATGGACATGTCATTGCTCTGTCTGGAATGTTCCACAGTATGACATTAAACAGCTCTACCTTACATTCATTCAGTTGCAAGTTGCTTTATAGCTCAAAAATACCCCCAAAAACCCAAACATTCTCACTGTGAGGAGGGATGCCTCTCCACAGATCTGACCTGTAACTTGATCTGGTTTGGTCTCCATGACAATAAAAAGTGTTAATGCCATACTGTGAAACATTCCAGACAGAATAATAACATCATCCATTGAGAAAAGCATTTGATGGATCTTCTACCAGAAAAGTTACACAATGCACCTTTGAGTGGAATTTTCATGTGATACTTTTACTTGATTTCATTTTGCTCCGGTATCTGTACTTTTTCTTAAGTAACAAAATTGAGTACATCTTCCACCACTGGTTAATCCTGATGCAAATTTGTAGCACTCGGGAGCTTATATTATCTTGTGTAATGGGACGTCTAAAATCATTAGCCTGTGCCACCCGTTTTATTAAGCTTGATAAAGAATTCGGAGTTGGTAATTGTTTTCCACTTCATGCACTAACAGCGATTAAAATAATAAATGCCGTCCCTGGGTGTGAACGCTGTTTCGCAGTATCAATCCGCTAGCTCTAACTGCTGCCATTACCCACCCCATCCATCAAACTGTCAACAATGCATTTCTCGACTTCTGCCAATTCTCTCTTCCACATTTGTTTACGCCGGCGATTAATTTTTTGTTTTGTTTTTTTTTTGTTTTGGAATATTTGTTTGCTATCATCCCCAGCCATCTATCAGTCAATCTCTGCCAGCTTGGAGATAACTATAGTGTTTAGCCAAAATGGATGCCACACTTTCACCCCTTTCCTCTGGTACCTGTCACAAACGCAATTATGTATTTCTGGAGAAGGGTGGCGGGGAATTATTACTGACGGGTAAACAGAAGGAACACTGCGATTTAGTACCAGCAATATCCAAGAGATGTAGATATAAGCTGGGTAAGGGAAAAGAGATACCTTGGATGTTGAAGGGGTTGTCAATGACGAAGTTTCCGTTCCACACCACGGAGAGGTCCACGGGGAGGTCGCTGATGTCACTTCCTTCGTAGTCGTACTGGAAAAGAAACAGGAAGATGTAAGATGAGTAATCAAAGCTGTCGATAGGTAGATGATAGAAAGTATTGACAGGATATTAAGTGGTTTTAGAGTGTCCACAAAAGGTATTCAAACCAACAACCAAAAGTCCTCGAAATTGCATTTGTCAGTCTCCCAAGCAACAACTTAACTTATCAAACTTTTGTTGGGTGGTAACAGGCTAACCACTCTGCCACCAGGCCTTGGAGAAATGAGGAGAAGTTGTCAAAGTTGTCAATACGTAGATGATAGAAAGTACTGACAGGATATATTAGCAAATTCAGTGGTTTCAGAGTGTCCACAAAAGCTATTCAAAACAATAACCAAAAGTCCTCAAAAGTCCTCACTAATACATCATGTCAGTCACCCAAATAACAGCTTACTTTATCAGACTTTTGTTGGATGGTGACAGGCTAACCACTCTGCCACCAGGCCTTGGAGAAACGAGGAAAAGTTGTCAAAGTTGTCAATAGGTAGATGACAGACAGTATTGACAGGATATATTAGCAAATTCAATGGTTTCACAAAAGCTATTCAAAACAACGTCCAAAAGTCCTCAAAATAGCGCCCATAATATTAATAAATCATGTCAATCTCCCAAATAACAACTTAATTTATCAGACTTTTGTTGAGTGGTGCCAAGCTAACCACTCTGCCACCAGGCCTTTGGAGAAATGAGGATAAGCTGTCAAAGTTGTCAATAGGTAGATGATAGAAAGTATTGACAGGGTATATTGGCAAATTCAGTGTCAACAAAAGCTATTCAAAACAACATCCAAAAGTCTTCAAAATAGCGTCCATAACAGTAATACATCATGTCAATCTTTCAAATAACAACTTAATTTATCAGACTTTTGTTGAGTGGTGCCAAGCTAACCACTCTGCCACCAGGCCTTGGAGAAATGAGGATAAGTTGTCAAAGTTGTCAATAGCTAGATGTAGGTGATGATGGAAAATATTGACAGAATACATTAGCCTAGCAAATTAAGTGGCCTCAGACTGTCAAAAAAAAAAAAAAAAAAAATTACTGGAAGCTGTTCAAAACAATAGCCAATAGTCCTCAAAATGGCGCCCATAATAGGAAAAAGTAATCAATTAAAGGTCAGTTGCTTATGATAATCAGATCACTTAGACAATAATAAATAGGGATATAATAGGGATGTAACAATATCAAAATCCCTCAATATGATATTTTCATGATATGCATCTTGCGGTTCAATATTTATTGCGATATTTTGTGTAGGCTTACAAAATTGTGAAAATGCTACTTTTTCCTTTTAAAAGTCTTAGAAAAGTCTTCAAAATCCTTTGGTACTGTCATAAGAGGAAGGATTAAGATTTAAAAGTGCTTAATAACACTTATTTCTTCAGGTAATCTGCATTGCAACACCAAAGGATCATGGTCTATGTAGTTCCATTTGTTTTTTCGCTAGTGGTGCATCATGGAAAGGCAAGTTTATTTGTAGAGCACAGTACATACACAAAGTAATTCAAAGTGCTTTACAGAATAAGAAAGACATTAAAATCGCAAAGAAAGACATTAAAATCACCATAACTATTCATTTAAGCAAAGAGTTCAATATATTGTGATGGCCCTCGATATTATTGTGAGATTATTGACAGATACGAATATGATATTTTGGTGATTATTACATCCACAGTAACTAATAAAAGATAATAATAGGTAATACAATAAGTAAAATGTTCCTGTCTGACACCAATACTGTTTGTCAAACTCAGGATTGTCTGCATATGATCCCAAACAACCTAACAACTTAATCACCAAGTTGTTATATTCAAAAGATGTAGGTGATGTCAGGAAGTATAGACATAATATACTAGTATACTGGTATATTGGCAAGTCCTGTGAAGGAAAAAAAGACAAATTCATGGGATTCAGAGGAACAAAAACTGAAGACTTGCCAGAGTAAGATTCAAAATGATAACAAAAGTCCTCAAAATGGTGTCCACAAGTAGTTGAAATATAAGATTAAACACTTGTCCATGATGGGATTGTCTGAAAGCAGCAGAGATAGTCCCAGACAATTAAACTAAATCTACCCAATGATTACAGAAATCATACAAGCACTTTCTTGTTGTGTACTGACTTGACAAGCTAACCACTCTGCCACCAGGACTTAAAGAGAGAAGGATGTTAGATAAGTTGCCGTGTTGTTTGGACAGATGCAGGTGATGAGAGGAAGTGTTGAAAGAATATACTGGCCTGGCAAATAGCATTGAAGTAAAAAATGAATGAATAAATAAATAAATACATACATACAACAGCCAATAATTAAAGAGAGACTGAAGAGATGAAAAAAAAGAGAAAATTCATGGGTTTCAGAGTGATTGGAAATTAAGATTGCTGCCATAGCGATTAAGATATGAAAACAATGTCCTCAAGCTGCCGCCCAGGAAACAGAGAAACGCCATGTGACTTAAACAATTAATAAAAAGTTGGATAACAATTGAACTTTTTCTTGGCAGATTGTATTTTTGTCAATGTTGGCACTGTAAAGACCAACAAAACTAACCAAAACGTCCTCAAAATTGTGTCCAAAAAAAGGCATAAAACTAGTTTGATGAATAAAGTAACTTCATGGCCAATACTGAGCATTTTTCTCAGTGTTGGAATTGTGAAAAAAACTACCAATATTCTCCTAGAAGAACCAATCGAAGAACCTATATGCCACATTTTAAACCCTTATGTGGACCTGGAATCTTAGCAAGGACCTTTTTGTAGAGTGATGACAAGCTAACCACTCTGCCACCTCACAACACCTGTCAAACTCGAGCTGAAGCTAAAACCTGCAAAAACAAGCTAGATATATAAAAAATAATACACTTAATTTGTGGAGGCAGTGTCTTGATGAGTGAGCTGCCAATCATGCTGTCAGTCATTTTGATGTGTGATACCTCTGTATGGTGTGTGGCAGTGGTTTCACAGTCTGCGATAATCTACAGATGGGATGTCAACGCGGAGTGGGAGATGTTTGAACCCTCATCCAGGAGTCTTTGTCAATCTTGGAGGAGACTCTGTCAGACACTGAGGAATACTGTGTTTTTTACTACATGGTGTTTTTGAATGCCTGGTTTCAGCAAGAGTTGAAGGAAAAAAAAAAAACTAGAAACTTAAAGGGACCATATTATGCTAATTCCTGATGAATGTTTTCTCATCACACACACATACTGTACCTGGAGTTGTGTTTTGTTTCATTTCCACATGTTTAACACACAAACCCTGCATATTTTCAGGCTTTGTTCTTTTCTTTAATGGAAAACACACCAAACACACCACCTTGTGATGTCATGTGGTAACACAGGAAATGCTCCATTGTGTTTTTAAACACCATACGCCTTATAATCATTTGGATAATTGCCCATCTCTACTGAAATAAAGGTAGCTCTTAAAACTACCACTACATGACATCACAAGGTGAAACAGAGCATTTTGAGACGTAGACTGACTAATAACAAAGGGTTACTCAAACATGTTTGACTCCAGGTATATTTTTGAGTAAGTAACAACATTCTAACATGACTTAAAGCTTACAAGAGTCAATTTTGTGTAATATATAAAAGTAAAGTAGTAATGTCTCCATGGAGACAAGGGGGTGGTGAACCATTCACCAGGAAAGTTACAATCTGCACCTTTATATGAACTGAACTTTAACTGAAGTCAGCCCACACAAAGATATGTATCTTGTATTACCTTGTACTTGTATTCACTGAAGGAAGTAAGAAATAGTTATTAATAGTTAATAGAAATAATATCCATGAGTCTCTTATGAAGCCCTGCAAAATTACTTGGGTCTTGATGTCAGAAAAACAGCAACTACAAAATGCAAATACTGATAGAAAATTGGAGAGCACAGTGCAGTATTTTATCAAGTATACTAACTACTAAAGGCAACACTATGTTACAGCTATGCAAATGTGAGTGTGGCAGGTAGCCAAGAACTCTTCAGTGTACAGAGTGTCGAGGGAAGTACATTAAGCACTGTCACTGCTGGTTAACGCAGCAACAGTCGTGATTCTGGGGCTCAAAGTCTGATCACTTTCTATGTTGCATCCTCATATACTTCACATTTTATTCAGATGCACATGTTTAACTTAAAGGTGTATTATGTTACTTATATAGTGAAGGGTCCACCTCCACCTTCAAGCCTGATCTGTGGAGATGTGTCCTCGCTCATTGTAAGAATGGATGTTTTCCAATCTGTTTTTAAAGCCATGGAGACAAGCAAGTAATGGATCCCTGCTCACATCCCAGAAGGATTTAAATCATTCAGCAGGTGTTAGGGATGCATCAATCCAGCTTTTTCAGTTTCAATACCAATGCAGATATAATGAATTTAAGTATTAGCTGTTTTCAAATTGCAGAAAATACAATAGTGACAAAAGTAAGAAAATTTGACAAAAGTTTAACCTTATAGCATATAGAGAGCCCTTGAACTCACTATAAGCCCACAAAACTGCAGCAATCGCACTTTTACTTGCCTCCAATTTCCATTAAACACACAAGGCCCATAGAACCCTGCGATATCACCAGAAATCCATCAATACACCACCATTTTTGACACGCCAGGACAATATATTTACGCACAATAAACCGCTATTCAAAATCATATTCACTGAAAAATCACTGCATTTCATAACCCTTACTGGAGCAGCAGATGGGATTCACTTGAGTGGCTATAGGACTATAGGCATAATAGAAGTTGGGGAAAGCGCTGGGCAGTGAAGGGGGGAGCCGTCGGACACTGGCACATGCTAGAGGAGCGATTCATTTAGCCGTAAGCTAAGTGATGCCATGAGGCTAAGGAAAAGATAAGATCCGGAGCAGCGCAAAGTGAAAATGGCATTTCCAATTTGCTCCGTGACACTGTGCATTTGGCGGATGGGGCAGGACTATCCCGTACGGGCAATGGGCCTTTCACAAAAAAACTACTCAAACAGACAAGCGCAGGGTTTTTCTGC